CTCTGCCGATTTCAAGTCGACAAGCAACTGCTCTGAGATTCCTCATCATTTCCCAAAAATCATTAAAATCTCTAAAAATAACGGGATACCTGTGCGACTCAATCTTTCTAAAATACGTGTTTCAGGAAGCCATGAGTAGTCAGATTAATTCGTTGAGATACATCGAATTTCAGGAGATGTGGTTTAAATCAAAAGAAGATTTGGTTGTATTAACATTTTGTTTTAATTTGGAAGTGTTAAAGTTTAATTGGTGCTGGGGGTTGACTAACGATTTGGTTAAGGTACTGGTGGATGCCAAGTTTCTCCGACTAAAAGTTGTGGAAATCAAAGGATGCTCGCCGTGGGATTTGAAAGTGTGGGCAGAAGCCTACCAAAAGTTTAAGAACTAAAGAGTGAATTTTTTTGCGAACACGTTTGTATTTAAAAAAAATCAAATTTTATTTAATAAATTAAATGAAATTCAATTAGTAGAGTCTTTAATTTTATAAGTATTATCAAATATTATAATTTATTTAATGAACAAATATATACAATTTCTCCATCTAAAATTTTTGGTTTTATTAATATAATTTATTTGTATATTAAATAAACTTATTTTCTATAATTAACTTTATTGACAGTAAGATTTTTATTAATTTTTTTATTTTATTTAATAATTTTTTTCTAAATCAAAATTTTCTTTCTTTTTGTTAAAATTTTGATATTTAAAATTGTTGTTTTAATAAATAATTTGTTATTACTAAAGCTAAAATTCAGTATATGTTAAAGTACTTAAATTTTGAAGTTTATAAAATTTCATCAAATATTTAAATTTATATTGATTAATAAGTAATAAAAAAAACTTTATAATTTTGATATAAAATATATATATATATATATATATATTATTATTATTATTATTAAAAAATTGATTTTTATACATTAATTTATTTTATTTTTTATAGTAAAAAAATTTTTAAAGTTTATTATAAAAGGATTAATTTGCTTAATATAAAAATTATATTAATAAAAATTTATATTTACGTAAATACATTTATTAATTAATAATAATTGTTTTTAAAAATATTTTAATATTCGTAAACAAAAATTTATTAACAAGAAAAATTACTTGTTAAAGCTAAAATTGTAAAAATTATATAATTATTAAAAAAAAATAAGAAAGTTTTATTTAAAAAATTATTAAATATAATAATAATAATTTATTTAATAAAACAAAAAAAACCAATACACGATAACTATTTTAATTAACTATAATCATTTTTACATATGGTATGTATATAATAATTAATAAAAATTTTTAAAAATAATTAAAAAATAATTGTTTTATTATATATTTAATAATAATAATAATAATTGTTTTTTATTTATATTCTATTATTATTTTTTTATATTTATAAATAATTTATTATAAGTTTTTATACAGTGTATTAAATTAAAAATTTTATTTTTATGCAATACATATATATAAAGATTAATAATTATTTTTAAGTTTAGATTTTTATTTGACTATTCCTTTTAAAGGGTGCCACGAAATTACGTAAATATCAACTCTTTTTCTACCGAGGCATTATGACCATGGAATTGTCAGCTGTTCTCTTACGTGACATTAGCAGATTATATAACGACGCAGACGATTATAATGTTTCATTACAAGTTGGTGAAGAACCAAATATCGAAGTGTTTAAAGCACATTCGGTGATTTTACGCGCAAGATCACTTTATTTTCGAGCTGCGTTAAGTACCAACTGGGGCAAAACAGAAGCTGGCGTCTTCGTTTTTAAGAAACCAAATATTTCACCAAATATTTTTAGGATTCTGTTAAAGTATGTTGTTTCTTCAAGCTTAATAGTAAATGTTTTGTGGAATACATCAAAGTTCCGGTCGATTCTTAAATTTCTTTCGTTTCGAAACTTAGATACATCTACACAGGACTGTTCTTGACCGATGAATCTGATAGTGATATAAATCTTATTGACTTACTGATAGCCGCAGATGAGCTATCACTTATAGAATTAGCCGACTACATACAAAAAAGAATTATAAGAATGAGCCGAGAATGGTTTCTGAGTAACGGAGTTCACCTATTAAACACAATTTCGCGATATAAAATGTTTAAAATCCTTCAGGAACATTATGATAATCTTATGATTAAAGATCCAAATATTTTTTTCGAATGTGAGGATTTCGATGAATTGAATGAAGAAGATCTACTATCTTTAATTAAGCAAGATAACCTACATATAGAAGAAATAAGTATATGGGATCGCGTTATAAAATGGGGGTTGTCGCGGAATCCATCCATAAGATCAGATCCAATATCTTGGACTTCGGACGACTACGAGGCTTTGCAAAAGACGATTCATAGATGTATACCGCATATCCGATTTATTCACATGTCACCAGCAGATTATTTTTACAAAATTCGACCGGTTACAAGACTTTTGTCAAAGGAGTTGGATGATGACATAGCATCACATTTTATAATTAAGGATAATCAATCTGAAACAAACTGGTTACCACCTAGAAAACCAAAGGAAATATTAGAATCAGAAATAATCGATACCAGATGTACAGACATATTTTCAAATTGGATCGATCGCAAAGCATTGGATAATATTCAACAATTTAATCAATACAGTTATAAATTACTCTTAAGAGGTAGCAGAGATGGATTCGATGTTGAGACTTTTAAATCTAAATGTTTTGATAAAGGAGCGACGATTATCGTGATCAAATTGAAAGGGGAAAAAAAAGTTATTGGGGGATACAATCCAGTTAGATGGTCTGGATCAGAACATTATATCATCACGACAGAAAGTTTTTTGTTTTCCATTCCATTGGATTTAGATCCCACCAGAATCATTCTAAGTAGAGTAGTTGGCGCTGCGCAAGCTATTGCCGATTCTAATGAACAGTGGGTAGGATTTGGCGATAGTGGTAAGATTTAGGAATTATTGATATTCGTGTGGGTTTTAATTAACATGATTTTAAAATTCAGATTATTCTTTACTTCCTGAACAGACTTATACATATTCCGTAAAATTTGCGAAAGAGAAGATTATGAGTTTAATATTATTGACAATAAATCATTTGACATGGAAGATTATGAAGTATTTCAGGTTATCAAAGCGTAAAGATGATTGTCCATGATTTACACCAACCATTCGAACCATCTAGTGCTGAATAGGTAACGCTATCGCTAAGCACGTAGTATTCTTTGCAGAAATAGAACTCCTTTGTGATTTAGGACATATAAAATTCTAGGAAAAAAATGTTCAACTTAATTTATTCGAAGGCGAATATGTTGTAAATTTTTCTCGGATAAGAAAATATCGAAATAATCGATAGTTTAATAAATCGAATATGTTTATTTAATTTAATTCAAAGTTAATATCAAGTATTATTATAAAAAAAATATAATTAATCATTTATTTTATTTTATTTATATTATAATATGTTAAGTATATAATTTTTTATAAAAAATAAAATAAAACAATCATTTATAAATTCATATTAACAAATTAGATTTCTATAATTTTTCTCAATTATACTTTTTTTTTTTTTATTTTTAGTTAATTTCTATAACATCATGTTTATTATTTATTACTTATAAATACAGTAATATAATATAATATAATATATATTATATTATATTAAAGCTAAGTTTTTTTTTATTTAGTTGGGACCTGTTCAATACACTTTATTTAGTTTGTATTTGTATTTCTTATACAAGAACTACTATTTATAAACTATCAAAACTTTTTCAAATATTTTTAAAAATAATAAAATATTTAAAAACTTTATTTTTCAATTGATTTCAAATAAAAAATAAATTAGATACTTTAAATATATTTTATAAAATATAATTAATATTATCAAAAATATTACAAAAAACAAAAAAACATTTGTATTTAAAATAACTTATTAATTAAATAACTTGTTTATTTACTTTTTTTGATTATATTATAACAATATTAATAATAATAAATTTAATTATAATTTTATAAGTCAAAATTTCAAAATATCAAAATAATTATTAATCAATTAAAATGGTTTTATCTTCTATTTAATCAAATCTTAATTTATTTAAAAAAAACAAATATAAATAGAAATTATTTTCTATCTATTTATAAATCTTTTTTAATCAAAATATTTATAAAAATATTCTATTTACTATTAATTTAAATCTTTTTATATTGCAGAAACATTTATCCAAAACAACTTTAATTTTTCATTATGTATTTCTAATCTCATTTCAAACCACCACAAGTTT